GAACTTCGGGGAAGGGAGGGAGGGAGGGGATGGTAGGGGGAAAACAATGGAGGGGCTAACAATGTTCAAGAGGAAGTGTACTCATTACCTCACTCATGTAACTGTAACCCTCTGTATAGTATCTTTACAATAAAAAAAATTATCTGTTAAAAAAAAATAACAGTGACAAAGAAAAAAAAAGTATATGAAATCAGCTGGGTGTCAGTGACTCATGTCGCTAATCCTCAGGAGGCTGACATCTGAGGACAGCTGTATGAAGGTAGCCCAGGCAGGCCCCCTGAAACTCTTATCTCGAATTAACTACTGAAAAACTGGAAATGGAACTGTGGCTCAAGTGGTAGAGTGTTGGCCTTTAGAAGAAAAAAAAAACAAAAACATAGAGACAGAGCCCAGACCCTGAGTTCAATTCTACGACTGACACTGAATGGGGGGGGGGGGGGGATGGAGAGAGAGGGAAGGGAGATGAAATCAATTTGCTTCATTAAATTTTTTATATTTATTTACAAATTTTAAAACCAAGGAAAATAATACATAACTGTACAACATCATTTATTGTATCTTACAACAATAAACTTATAGAGCAAGACCTAGATGTTAATTTTTTTAATAATCGTTTCTCCTGATTATAAATGTAATGCTAACAAAAAGCACTAACAAATACCACAAACCATTCAGGAAAACTCCTGATGATCTAGTTACTATGATACACACACACACAGACACACACAGACACACACACACAAACTTTTGTTTCACATTCTCCTATTCTTTTCTAATTTATTTTTTCATTGGAACATACTGTTTGAAAAACGGGAGGTGATGTGTCTTTTTATTTACATTTTGTTTTTTCTGTTTCTAGTTTAGCTACTTTTCATTTTGCAAGGCCTCATAGTTACTTAGTTCAGTAATGGCAGGTGATTCTATGAAAGGTTAAAATGATGCTATGATTCTATGGGGTGGCTCAATAGATTTAATTCTAAAGTGCTTTCTTCCCTAATAAGTAATATTTCTTTAAATGTTGGATTGATGTTGTAGTGAACAAGAAAGGCAACATCTCTGCTCTTACAGAGGTAATATGGTGCTATTTGTATTGAAACTTCATTGTTCTGAAAGTAGCAACATTTCCTTCAAGTCATCTATGCTTTCTTTGCTATCTTGGCATCTTAATGTTTATTACAATGGCTAGTATATGGTAAGCATTCAATAAATGTTATATATAAAATATGTAAATTATAGTGCCATTATCATTTTGATTGGCTTATCTTCTGATTTTGTTTTTTGGTTTTTCTACTCCTTTTTATTTTCATAGTTGTTAGTTTGGCACAGGATTTCATTATGTAGTCTAGTTGGCCTCAGGTGCATTATCTTCCTGCCTCAGTCCCTCAAGTACACCACATACCTGGCTCACTTTTTTCTTTGTCATTACCAGTGTGGGCTGTCAAATCAATTCCTTTGTTTCCCTTTAAATAGTACTTTACCCAAACTACCTTTCTTTCTTTGGTCTTATATACTCTCAGAACATGCTTTTGATTCTCTACTAGCCAGTGGTCTATGTTTTGGGGCTTAAAACTTTTTTTTAAGATTTGCTCACTAAAGAATAGACTCTTTCTGAAGGTGATTCCTTTTGTATGTCACTGCTACTAGTCAACCCACTCCTTATTCCCATGGTCGTTTCTTTTACTAGTAGTCATGTAAGCATGAGAACTGAACAGAATCTAGCTCTACTGGGTCAGTTATATGCCTCACCATTTGTGTGAAAAACAAACTTTCAGTCATCTTTAACTCCAAGCTATAATGCAGGCAAGGATTAATGGTAGTCATAATTATCCTAAGGGAAATCAGAAATCTTTTCATGGTTATTTAACAATAATTTTAACAATTATACATTTTCTACCTTTAAAAGACAAGATAATAAGCTTTTTTATACGGTCATTACTAAAATCTCTCATCTAAATTAATTTAATGAAAAGGGAAGAGGAATAACAGAATTTATTCCCCATGGTCAATGTTTATGACTTCTGTACCCTTTATCTTGTATGTAAGTTTATCTGATTTGGGGAAGGGAAGGCGAATCACAGAAACAATGGGACAAAGGGTGAACCAATGCAACAGCCATACTCACTAGACACTGTTGGAAATGAACTTTACAACTTGGAAGAGGAAAGGTGCCGGGGGTAGGGAAAGCGGAAGAAAATAAGGGAGAGGTTAACACTGCTTGAAAAGAAATGTACTCATTACCTTACTTATATAACTGTAACCCCTCTGTATATCACCTTTACGATAAAAAAAAAGAAAAGATTATAAGCTTTTCTGTTCTCATATCTAAAATCACTCATCCAATTAATGAAAAGGGAAGAAGAAAAATAGAATGCTTGTGATATTTCCATTCATTTTGAAACTACTTAATTTTTGGACCCTTAATTACAATTTAACTTTTTTAACTAATGCTAGTTAAAAAAGAAATAAATTACTAGGATAAGGCAATTATGAGAAAAATAAGAAAATTGATCATAAATGTAGAAAAGCTGATTAATAAATCTTTAAAAATGTTCTTATTTATAAAATGTTCTATATTTATAAAGGAGTCTTAACCTAACATTTATAAGAGGACTTTACTATTCAGAAATAATTTTTAGTATATTATTTAAATATTGTAAGGATTAGTAGAAGAGGAAGCTAAGGCTTACATATTTTAGATTACTTGGCATAATGTAAGAGAAAAAATTGCAAAGCTTCTAATGAGAGACAATAATTTATACATTTCATTTACAACCAAATTTTATAGTATTAAAATATTTGGTATAAATATGAAAACAAAACAGACTGATTTTCTTATAGTTTTCTAGATTTTTTTTAAAAGCCTTATTTCAAATTGCCCAATAACATAACCTCTTGAAATAATAATCCAAATCTTAAGTGTTCTATAAAAGTAAGGATGGAATGCTCCAAGTAGTAGAGTGCCTGCCTGGAGAATATAAGGCTCTAAATTCAAATGTCAGTACCACAAAAAAGATGGGATAGAAATAAAGCATCCTCAATCCAAAACTTAGGAATATTAAGTCCAAAAACCCCAAACTTATTTTCCCCCCAGACCAAAGTTTTAATTCAAGGTCTCATAGTTACTGAGCTTACTTATCATGGTTGGTGCTCTAATTGAGTCATGCTTTCACTTGATTTCCTTTTTGAGGTAAAGTCTTAAGCACTTTCCTACATAGCCTGTGAACCTCTATCCTATCGATCTCAACCTCCTCAGTATCAAGGATTACAGACAAGAACCACAGATGGCATGGCCTAAGACCCCAAACTTCTTAAGTTCTGATATCTTGTTCAAGCAGTTTAAATTTTTTTAATATTAGGTCTACATAATATTCCAAAGTTTGAAAAAACTTTGTTATTCTAAGCATCTTGTATAAAGGAGAATCATTTATATATCAAATAAAGAACAATTACCTTGATATTTCCCTGAGATAAACAGTCTGCATGGCTTTCTTCAAATGAGGTTCAATATTTCTCCACAGTTTGCGAGTATCACGTTCACCTGCTACACATACCCAGGAGAAAACTTCAGCAACTTAGATCATCAGAAAAAGTCTCTCAAAGGAAATATTAATGATTAATTTCCATAATTACCTTCTCCTTTAACTACAGGCTCACAATATTTAGGAAAATTAAGTGCAGCCTATAAATAAAGATAGAAAAACAAAGAGAAAGCATGAATCTTATTATAATTCAAGTGATTTTAAGGTCAGTTGCTCAAGTAAAATGTAGTTACAACTTATTACTACAGTAAGGCAGCACAAATACCAATAATGATAGTCCAAGTGTATAACTGTATAATTGGCCTAAATATATTAGGCTCTGGATATAAAACAACAAAACATTATTTTTACTTTTAGGTAATAATGATATCTCCTAGAATTATAAAGCATTTAATAAAATACTTCAAGTCCAAAGAATTACCTGGTATTTTATAACATTTGGACATTATCACAAATTAAACATCATCTAGTTGAGTATGACACACTATTTAGATTGGGAGCACTATCTGAGACTGTTATAAATTCAAGTTCTTGGCATCAACCCAGGCATATTAAATCAAAATCCCTTAGAATGAAACCCAGGAAGCTATATTTTAACTATCTCTCTAAAAATTGTGTGTTTTAAAGTCTCAGAAACTGTAACTTATCATAACTATTTAGTAGTTTTCCATAAATTACACTCAAATTCTATTAAAAGGTAATTTAAGCTAATTGGTTAAAAAAAATACTGATGCCATTAAATAAGACTAATTTGGTCCTATTCTATACTGAAATAATCCAGTAACGGGACCTACAGAAAAGATAATTATATAATCTCAATTCAGGGGATAACACTAAGTGCTAATATTAATTTGAGAAAGAGGTTAAGGAAGAAATTTCCACGTTGGTCAATTAAGATTTTCAGATCTAAGCACTGGTCATAACACTAAGGTATTATAATGTTAAAACTAACAGGTAAATAATCAGCTAAATTAAAACATACTGCTTTTCTTTTTTGGTTGAAATATTAAAATACGTTAAATAATTATGAAGAGCTATAAAAATAATTTAAGAGTCTATTATCTAATTTTACTTTCATAAATTATAAAAGCAAAATTAATCTTAATGTGATTCCACATAAAGATAGTGAATGCACAAAACTATATTGTATAATGACTACATTAACTTTCCAAACACAATTTCTTTATTTAAGTAAACTTACAAGACTGATCCTTAGTAATAAGTGGATTTTATAAGTTAATATTTGTCCAAATACAAAAAATTTCTTGCAGCTTTTATTACATTCAAATGTGTTCTTCCTTATCTTTAAGAGTTAACTCTTTAACACATTAAAAGGGAGAAAAATATAAAGGTATAACTTTATTAAGAAATTAATAAATGTGCCGAAAATATCCATGCTAATAACAGTAACATAAGCATAATCATCATGAACTCAAAATGGTCACTTGTAACTACCTTATTCCTGAAAACTACACTTTTATTATGTCCATTTGGCAGCTAAGGAAACAGAACCAAAGTATAATCTGCCCATATGTTCATAGTGATCCTATTGCTTGAAATTGTGATTGCAGATCTATGGTTTGTGGATTTTTTAAAATTAGTAATCTTATCAATGCCTCATTCAAGAATATTTCCCTTCTTTTAAAGAAAAATCTGACATTTTAAGAGGTAAAATAATAAGTTAAAAATGCTGATAAGCCAGGCACCAGTGGCTAAGGCCTATAATCCTAGCTACTCAGGAGGCTGAGATCTGAGGTTCATAGTTCAAAGCCATCCCAGGCAGGAAAGTCCAAGACTCTTATCTCCAATTAACCACCAGAAAACCAGAAGTGGTGCTGTGGCTCAAGTGTTAGAGCGTTAGCCTTAAGCTGAAGAGCTGAGGGACAGTGCCCAGACCCAGAGTTCAAGCCCTACAACTGACCAAAAAAAAAAAAAAGAAAAAATAATGCTGAGTAAGTTACAAAGTAAGACAAATTAAGAAGCTTACCATTTCTTCTTCACTGAAACTTTCAGTATATCTTCATTATAGCATTTGAAATTGTTAGAATTTAGTCTGATACATATACATAAGTCAGAATTCTAAGTTAGCACCAATTCTAAGTTAGGACCAAGAGTGTCCCTTGGTTTCTTTACACCTTCTCTCAGATATTCAATCAAACACTAGTCAAGGAATTGCTGATAAAATTAAGATCACAAACATTATGGAATTTATTGGAAAGTTACAATAGGGAAGTTATCAGGTGAGCTAAATCTGATCACAAGTTCTTCATAAACAGAATGGTTTCTCTGCTGTTTTTCGTAAAAGAGATTATAGGAGAATTTTATGTGACACTTCTGTCTTGTTGATAGAGATGGCTATGTGGTAAAGAATGCACCTTCCTCTAGGAGGCCTTGAAAGAGATTCCCAGAAGACAGCCAACAAGGCTGTGGGATCTTCCTACAGCCAACACTAATTAAATTCTGTAAGCAATCTGAATGAGCCTGGAAGCAGAATTTTCCCCAGAACAAAAATTCATTCAAGGCTAGAAGCATGGCTCAAGTGCTAGAGTGCCTACCAAGGAAGTCTAAGTCCCTGAGTTCAAACCCTAATACTACAAAACAAAAATAAAAACTAGCAAACTAAGAGAGAATTCATTCTAGCCAGTATTTTTCAGTCTTATGATATCCTAAGTAGAGAACCGAATAAAACAGAGCCTAGATTTCTTTTTTCTTTCTTTTTTTTTTGTTGTGGGGTTTCAATCACAGCCTGGATTTCTAACGTACAGAACTGTGAGCTAATAATACATTAAAAAACAGTATGTTGCTCTACACTGGTAAATCCATTAATTTCATAGGCATCAAAAGAAATACAATACATGCTGATGTATAAATATAAAAATATTCCAAAGCCACATATAAATCCTAGTAATGGTTCTTCTCGGTACCTTTCCTTTTTCCTTTCTTCTTCTTATGTAAGTCCCCTCTGTTGTCATTTCCCCTTAGATATGAGTGGTCTTATCCCAACAGCATTTAACTTCTAGAAGACTATTAAACGATTAGCCTGAGCTAGTTTGTTCCATCTCAGCTGAGAAGATGCTTGACATCTACATGTAAGTCAGAAGAGCCCTGAAATCCCAAACTTCCACAAACATACTAAATATGACCACAATTTTAAATGACCATCTTTCCCATATTCTACTCAAACACATAGTCTAATATACACTGGATCCCTTTACTTCAAAGCAAAGGATGGAAAAGTGCATAGCAATGAAAACAGGCTAAGAGATAATTTGTTACTTTAAAAATAATTGCCTTCCCATCTTACTGGCTTTTTTTTTAAGATCTTAATTACCAATAAAAGGTTTCTTAAAAGAAAATAGAAAAGATACTCTTGACACCTTCCTTTTACACCTCCACAATTAAAAGAGACAAAAAAAACAATCATTTCCCATATTTCTTATGGAATACAAACAGCTATTCTGATGCTTTTTTTAAAAAAATTTAGAGCATTTAACATACAACAACTACTAGCTCTAAGTCAGCTCTAAGATGTGAATTGAAGCACCTTATACTCAAGTCTATCTAGATTACAGGCCAAAGATTTCTATGTACATGGAAACTTGGAAGAACATGTTACCAAAAAATAAATACAATAAAATACACAGAGTCTGGTATCTGTGGCTCAAGCTGTAATCTTAGCTACTCAGGGGGCTGAGATCTGAGGATCATGGTTCAAAGCCAGCCCAGGCAGCAAAGTCCATAAGACTCTTATCTCCAATAAAACTACCAAAAATAGCCATAAGTAGAGCTGTGGGTCAAGTGGTAGAGCACTATCCTTGAGAAAAAGAAGGTAAGGGGCAGTATCTAGGCCCCGAATTCAAGCCCCAGGACTGGTACCAAAAATAAAAACAAAAACAAACACATAAACACACACACACACACACAGAGATGTACAACAATTTTAAGGTTGAATAACTTCTTGTTATTGTTACTCATTTTGATTTTAATAGTTCTACATTTTCTGCCACTAGAGAAAAGAGAAAGAAAAAGCAACATGGCTAAGGAAAGTAAAACCACACCAAAGATAAATGCAATTTTCTCATCAGGTCCAAGTATATACTAATTCAGACATGGAATTTTTTAATGACATATTAGCCTCAAAAGGCCATATCCAAATCTGCAGAATACATACATAAAAAATATTAAAAGGCACATGTAAGCGGAAAGCTCACTCACCAGGTGTCTAAGTTCTTTCAAATCCCGACAGACAGTGTAGAAAACCCCAAGAAGAATATTAATGTAGGCGGCATAAAAGTCAGCCGAATACTCTGGAGGATGATCATGAGACAGTATCTTTTGAAGGTTCCCTGTTCACAGGACATAGTTAACTTAAAAATATCTAGCATATAATACTTTTATCTTATCTTATAGTACTTTATAACAAAGGTTTTTAAAAAAATACTTCAGGCCCAGAAATAATAAAATTTACTAGATTAGAAAACTATGATTTGTGGATAGAATAATAAGTAAACATAATAAAAATATTTTCTTTCTTACTTTATAATTTCACTAAAGCCAACATAAAAGAATGAAGTAAAAGTAATATGAAGAACAACAGCACAAAGGTAGGAAATTATTTTTACTTATTTATTTTTTGTGAACTAAGGGCCTTGTACTTGTCCTACACTAATGGAACCACACTCCAGCCATGAGATAAGAAACTGTATGCCACTAAACTACGTCACTAAAAATGTCAAATAGTGAGCTGGGAAGGTGGCTCAGTGGTAGAGCCCTTGCCTTGCATGCCTGAGGCCCTGGGTTCGATTCCTCAGCACCACATAAGCAAAAAGAAAAAAGCCGGAAGTGGCGCTGTGGCTCAAGTGGTAGAGCGCTAGCCTTGAGCTGGAGCTGAGGGACAGTGCCCAGGCCCAGAGTTCAGGCCCCACAACTGGACCCAAAAAAAAAAAAAGTCAAATAGTTACCAGAGCAAAACTTAACCTAGCCTGACTGATAAATAAGTAATCAAAATCCCAATTAAGTATATTATAATCTATCTGAAGGAAAGTAGTCTGTATGTAGTAAAGATAAAAACACAAAGACTTCCAAATCTGGCTCCTAACTACTAAGAAAACATGTTCTTAACATTAGACAATACATTGCTAAAGATGATATGTGTATTGCATTAGCATAATAGAATGACATTAATCATTCTATAGTTTAGCTTATCAATAATGTTGCTTCCTAGAATAGCTTTTTATCTGATTATAGTGTTTAAGTTTAAAAAATGATATGTAAAAGGTCTTAAGATTTAATCATCAGGGGGTGGGAAGGCGGCTCAATGGTAGAGGGCTTGCCTTGCATGCCTGAGGCCCTGGGTTCGATTCCTCAGCACCACATAAGCAAAAAGAAAAAAGCCAGAAGTGGTGCTGTAGCTCAAGTGGTAGAGCGCTAGCCTTGAGCTGAAGAGCTGAGGGACAGCGTCCAGGCCCAGAGTTCAGGCCCCACAACTGGACCAAAAAAAAGATTTAATCATCAGGCTTAATATGGTTCTTACTATATTTTCTACTTTCCTATACTCTCTAACATTAGAAAGATAATAATATTGAATTTTGTCTTTAAACTCCCTTTAGTATCTATGCCACTTTGTATCTTTTTAATACACTTTTCAATTATATCATACTTTAGACAATGTAAAAAAAAATCAACTTTTTTTATAATTTTCTAAACCCTAACTTTTCAGTACTTAAAAATAAAATAGGATATAAAAAATACAGTGATGGAAGTAGTCATAGAAATTTTTTAACAGAATTCTTTAATTTATTCCTTTTTCCCCCTTTTTCCTTATTTTGTGATTTTTCACACTTGGAAAGCTCCTGAAAATAATGATTCCATTTACTTTGATAAGTTTAATTAGCTAAAACAGGAAGTGTTATGGTGTTCTGAAAGACAGAAAATTTGTGCTAAGTTTGGTAATAAGTGTTTACAGCTTATTGGTTTAGATAGTTTTTAAAGGTCCAAGATCACTCATGGGATACTTTTTACTCATAGTATGCTAACCATCTATGCTTCACAGTTATCTTTGAATCAGAAGTATCATCTTCACATAATAATTGTCCAGTAGTAATCTGCAAATCTATTCAATAATACAAGAAATCACTGTGTTCTTCCAAAGGCAAAAATGATAAGGACCTATAAATTTTAAGATTAAATATAACCCCTAATAAACTAGCAGTTAGTACAGTGAGTTATCATTTAAAAAAACAGAATACACAAAATCAGAGGAAACATTCCAAATGGTACTTAGCCCAAGTTTATAATAAAGATCTCAATCTAATGTTAATAAGCTTTACCAGTCTAGGCTGATTCATACGTGTGTAACAGCTATAATCACTATATATAGTACACACATTAATCCACTAAAAGTGATAAAAATATATTAGAGCTGGTCATTGAAAAAAATCAGTAATTTTATGAGAATAACCTCTCAATGTTCAAAAATAGCCTCTCAGTTTCTATAGAAATCTAAACCATTTTATTTGAGATTAGTACCCATCCAAATATTTCAATAATACAGCTTAATTTTTCAAACTTTCAAAACAAAAACTACTGAATACTTTACCTATGCTATAATCAGGGAAATACAAGACAAATGGCTCAAAGCATCCAGTATTTGGACGAAATTTTTCCCAAATAATTTCACTGAGAAAGATAACAGTCACATTTCTATCAGTCTATAAAAGAAAGAGAAATAAAAGCAACCTTGAATTTAAAAACCTTAAATCAGAGCAATAATTCCATTTAGATTTTTCATCAAGTAAATCCAGCAAAGCTCCAATATATAGCAAATTATTTCCATATTAATAAGTTGTATTTTGAAAACCTAATCAAGGAGCTCAACCACTTGCACATTTTCATACATAATTACTTAGAATTTCCATAAAACTTGTAGATTAATCAACATTTCAGTTACCCATGAATGCTAGGATGATCACACAAGTATTTTATAGAAATTAAAAATACATTTGCTTGAAAAGTTGAGACAAATCCTCTTATAGGAACTTCTTTAAAATCATAAGCTTTCAAACAATAAGCAAAAATGCAAAGCTTAGCTTTGTTCATCAGTAAATATAAAAAGAAAATATGGAGTTAAAGAAGAGCAGACATGACATACTATTTATTATTTTATTGAGTTTATATATTATTGAGTAAAGCTGATGCTGAATATATATTAAAATACAGACAACTGTATTAGTATTAAAAAAAAACAAACCAGTAAGTAAAAACATGCAATTTTAAGTACATTAAAAGAACAATTTCAATGGGCCTTTTACTCCTTTATAGTCTGGCCATAAATATCTTATGCATGCTAGAATTTACCTGTATCCACTTCCACACTCTCCAGAAAAAAATTAAGTTTCCATACTCTTTTGACATGTCTTTGGCTTACAAAGCAAGCACAAGGCTGGACACGTGTAATCCTAGCTACTTTAGGAGGTAAGATCTGAGGATTGTGGTCCCCAGCCCAGCATGGGCAGGAAAATCCATGAGACTCTTACCTCAGAAGTAGCACTGTGGCTCAAAATGGGAGAGTGTTAGCTTTGAGTATAAAAGCTCAGTACAAGAGCTGCTTGGATCCCAAAGTTTTCATAGGACCCAATCTCACATATAGCACTGTTTTGTTTTTGTTTGTTTTTTCAATTTTGGAGACAGTTGATTGTACCACTTAGGTGGCAATATATTGCAGGACCAGGCAAGTTTATCTCTGCCATACTAAGCTGTGCTGGTCTAGAAGTATTAGTTATAAAGAGGAGGAATAAAAAAGACCGGATGTGTAGAATGCCTGTTTTTTATGATGCTCTATTATTTACTAATTCCTCATTTCTGTGCTTATATATCAATTATCATTCCTTAGAAAGGCATTCTTTGGGTTAACAAATATAGCTGGGTTCAACAAATGAATAATACCCAAGGGGAAAAACTAGCCTATTTATGATAGCAAAGATCTTTCAAATGTTTTTGCATCTTACAAAATCACTGATTTCTAGGAATCCTGAATTTATATCTCTATAGGATAAAAAAAGTGCTCTATCTGATCACAAAACATATGCAAAAGTACTTTATAAAGTTAATTAAAAATATACTTGGAGGTTTAAAAAATAGTAACACGATAATGGAACTATAAATACAAACTAAAATAGTAAATATAGAATGAGTTATAATACTGAATGACCATAGGCAGAGGAGTTGGGAGGTGGGGAAGGAAGGGATGGTAGGGAAAAAAACAAAGGAGGGGATAACAACGCTCCATAGGAAATGTACTCATTATCTTACTCATGTAACTGTAACCCTCTGTACAGTATCTTTACAATAAAAATTATATATTAAGGAAATAAAAAAATGATCCAGAATATCTATATTCTTTTTTTAAACATGTAAGGAAACTCAAACTCAGGGCCTGGGCACTGTCCCTTAGCTTTTTTGCTTCAGGCTGCCATTCTACCACTTGAGCCACAGCTCTACTTCTTAATATTTTTTATGTCATTAACATGAACACAAAATTTTACAATTATTATAGAGCTCAGTCTAGCCTCTGGTTAATAGAAGTTACTTTGTAATTAGATATAAAAAGCTGAAATAATTGAAAAGTAAATTTTATCAGAAGTTGTTTTTACTACAAAAAAATGGAACTTTATTCAATGGAAAAATGAAAATTACATTTATACTATTGATATCATATATCAGTATGGCAAAAATGAAAAGTTGTGGCAACAAATCTACTGATAAGCGAATACATCTGTCCATATTTTATAGATCTAATTAATTTATTTTGAGGGAAAACCACCCTCATACTTACCAATTCTTGCAACCTAAGAAATCCAGGCAAAAGATTCGCTTCCATATCTCTTAGATATTCTGCTTTATCTAGAACCTTAAGAAAAAGAAAAAAGATGCAACACCAAAATAATTACAAAGTCCTTTACAAAATATGTATATAATATAGTACAAATTCAAACTTGAACTTTCCATATAAAGAAAAATTATAGCTTCTGATTTAACTTTTGAAATACTACGTACATTTCTAAAAAGACAGGTTAAATGCTATCCATTTTCACAAACTTAGCCCATCGAAAACCAAGCAATTAATCTTTTCCCACAAACTTATCCATTTGCCGTCTCTTCCATTTATTTCTTGTATCTTCTGGACCAACGCTAGCAGACGCCCAGATTTTCCTCTCATAAACAATCACAACAGTCTCAAAATCATTTCACCAGCACTTACTTCTTTCATCTCCTTCCAAATCATCTACTTAATATGCTGTAAATCTTAAAAGATAAATGCCTTCATTCTTCCTAAGGGATACTTGTTGCTCAGAAAACCTCACTATCTCTTTTCACTGTCTAGAAAATGAAATGAAGTGTTTTGTATATTTTCAAGACTTTCCATGATCTGGCCCCAACTTATCCCTAGTCTTCATTTTCTCCCTTCATATTTTGTAAAACATTAAAACTAGACTATTTGTTACTCTCTAAATTTATTCCCAGCAATATGCCTTTGGTTAAATAATCCTGCTCCATCTTAAATAATCACTCTTCAGTTTCCTCATATGTTATCTTATTTGCTCTTTCAGGTCTACCTCAAATATTATCACCTCATAAAGCTGTACTAGATGTACCTCAGACTATGAATCTCATAGTTCTCACTTACATTTTCTATATAGAGTCTTATGTGAATATGTTATAATTTTTCTATTAAAAATAGCTTCCTTTACAAATAAGAAATAGTTTGATTAGATTTTTGTATTCCAAAGCACTTTCCACAGAACAGTGTATAAAAACAAGTCTCAAAAACAAATATACAAGAATTAATCAAACATACAATCAATGTTCAAACAAAAGATAATATTATCAAGTTGAATTACTTACAATATATACAGTTTGGGTCTTGAGACTTTCAACTGTGGTTATTTGTTTAAATAATCGAACAAAGTCATTAAAGGTTTCACAGATTATTTCAGTAGAACATCCTTCTGAAGCATTAAGGTAACTCAATTTGTTCAAAATTTGTTCCAAAAGTAGCCTCAAGGTAACGCATTCAACACAATTCACAAAGACATGTGGAAGCTGAAATCCAAAAACAAAAAGCGTCAATAAAAAACATACACACTAGGGTTGTACTGGGTAGTCTTCATTTGCCTTTCTAAATCTATACCATTCTCCAACCATCCTGTGTTCCAGATGTCACCACCAGACTATCATTATCTGACTGTGGTTGGAGAAAAAGAAAGAAATAGTAGAAAAAGGAGAGTTGTAGGAAGAAAAACATGATATTTTTTCTTTTGATTCCCTACCAGCACCACTGTAGACCAGTTTGACAGTGGCTATTCTTTTACCAAAGGCTACACAAATTTCAACTGGACACTCCCTCTTCTAATACTATATTTCTTTCTGGGTTCTGGAAACAGCTACTATCCAAGGTCCCTTCAGGCCTAGAGAGAATAAAGGCCTTAATGAGTCACTATCCCTTTTCTATTCCCTCAAGTTTCAACTTTTAAAATAGTCTCTCATTAAATTCACTTCAATCATTTCTTTGACTTTGTCATTTGTTTCCATAGAGATTCAAAGTAAACTTGTATTCTCTTAAGAACTCTAATTAAGAAACTCAGGTCCATTTGAATGCTAAAATTCTTAGTCAAATGTCTTATAAAATTCTGTGTTGATATATTTCATGACAAATGGTTCTTGGACACAGGAGAACTTTAAAAGTTAGAAACAATAATAATCCTTCTATGAGAATTTTAAGATGAGTTTTTAATTTTGAAACTATCAAAATGAACCCGGGTCCTGGTGTCTCTCATCTGTAATCCTAGCAACTCATGAGGCTGGGACCTGGGGATTACAGATCAAAGCCAAGCCAGGCAGGAAAATCCATGAGACTACTCCCTTTTTTTTTCTCTTCAAATTTTAGTGGCTTTTATTGTTGTCATTGTAAAATTCTCAGTGGCTAATGTATATCTGTAGCAGTAGACAAAATACTGCTTGCCATTACACTTTAGGATCACAATAACATAAAATGAATCCTATGTCTAGTACTCACTCGCTGTGGTTCCATTGAATTGACTGAAGCTATAACCAGCTTGTTTATTCACAGATTCCAATACTTTTTAAAATTTTTTAATTGGTAGGTACAAGAGATTAAAAGTTTAAACTATAATTGAATTTCCAGATGGTCTTTACATATGAACAGCAAATTAAAATCTAATGCATATAGCATTTTTCTTGGAAGTAGTCACAGATGTTAAATGCAGCACTTGCTCCTATTCCTATATCCAAACACATGTCTTCGCTCAAAAGAAAACAGGAAAAGCAAATCAGTGCATACCACCACCAAGTCCACCAGGTGGCTCAACGGTTCAAGAAGCCAGAGATTATTTGTGAGGAGATGGCCTTGAGCTATCTCATGTGATTCTTTTTTTTAAAAACATTTTTTTATTGTAAAAATACTGTACAGAGGGGTTACAGTTACATCAACAAGGTAATGAGTTGATTCTTATCTCCAATTAACCATCAGAAAACCAGAAGTGGAGCTGTGGCTCAAAGTGGTAGAGCGCTAGCCTTGAGAACAAAAGCTGAGGGACAGCACCTAGGCCCTCAGTTCAGGCCCCACAACTAACAAAACAAACATGAAAAAAAAATCCACAAACACAAGGAAACAAAATAAATATAGTGTGTTCTAAAAATTGAACCACAAAAGCAGTTCTGATCATTCATAACTTGTGGCATCTGGTACAAATAATGAAACCTGCAGCTGTTTTTAGTGACATTCTAAACCCAATAACAAAGCTTTCCTTTTTCTGAGTACCAATGTAAAAGGTATATTATAATTACTTGAACATTTTTATCAGTATTTGCTAAACCCTTTTACTCCTTTCCATGATGTCTCTCTAAGTGTCTTGATTACTTCAATAACTGCTTGTCTTATCCTTCAATAACAGATATTCTAAGTGCCTATTTGTGTATCTATAGCAAAAGTAGTGTTAATCATATATTACACTTATTACGTAGCAATGCCTGGGCCAAAATCTTAAGACATTCAAATTCTGAAGTCAAGTATGGAATCCTGAGCACCTGTATTTTTTTTGGGGGGGGGGGGGGGGGTCCGGTCGTGGGGCCTGAATTCTGAGCCTGGGCACTGTCCCTCAGCTCTTCGGCTCAAGGCTAGCATTCTACCACTTGAGCCACAGTGCCACTTCCGGCTTTTTAAAATTCTACTGATGTGACGCTGAGGAATCGAACCCAGGACCTCAAGCATGCAAGGCAAACGCTCTACCACTGAGCCACCTTCCCAGCCTATGTTAAAAAATATTTTTGATATCTTTAAGTAGTTGTACAAAGGAGTTGCCATTCAGCAAGCAATTTATGAATATAGGGCCTCTTGGTCAATATCACTTTCAACAACCCTTCCTACCTACCCCTTCCCTCACTTAATTTTTAGGTTATATACTGAATTTTTTTGTCATTGAATTTTTTTGCTGTTTAACAAAGCAGTTTTTGCATACAATGAATCTTGATCTAAGTCATCCATTCAACATTCTCACCCCCCTTTTGACCTATCCCTTTCCCTTATTTTTCTCAGTTCTTCATCTTTCTACAAATCTCCCCTTAATCCCACCTCCCCTCTTGCAAGGACCCATTTCCTGGTTCTTATTTTGTTGGGCTTTGACTAAGTCTTTCTAAAGAATTACATAATATGAGCTCTCCATAGTCTATTACACCTCAGTTAATTCATTTGTAACTGCTTACATACCACCCATATATTGAGATTCCACATAACCCTAGTTAGAATGGCCATTATCAAAAGAGTAACAAATGCTAGCTAGGATGTGCCCAGAAGGGAAATCTATTACACACTGGTGAAAATGTAAGCTTGTTCAACCACTCTGGAAAGTGGCATGGAGGATCCCCAAAAACTAAATATAGAATTACCCCATGACCTAGCAGTTCTACTCCTGGGAATTTATCCAACAGAACACAAACAAGGCTGGACAACCATGATTATTGCAGCATTATTTGTAATAGCGAAGATATGGAATCAGTCAAGACATGGAATCAGCTGAGATACTCCTCAATGGACAAATGGACCAAGAAAGTGTGGTATATATACACAGCAGAATTCTATTCATCCATCAAAAAGAATGATACCATTCATAAGAAAACAGAAAGACTTGGAAAAAATTATATTAAATGAAGTAAGCCAGACTCAGAGAAACACAGGTTACATGGTTTCCCTCCTTTGTGGTAGCTAGAGTATTTCCATACATCAATAAGCAAGCACCTGTGTTTTTAAAATGAACTGGCAAGCTTTAAACAAACACTGTGCTTGGTGCTGGGGATGACCTCAGGAAACCCTTCTAAAAGGTGAGCCCAACACAAAGTCACAGCTGAAGGTGCAAAACAGAGGGCATCTAACGTAAGTCAGGAAACACTTCTCAGAGAACAAGTAAATGAAATCTGGTAAAAATAAAATAAATAAATAAACAAGCATTTGTTATACAATAAAATAACTTAAGTAGAGCAAGTGGATATAGAATAGCAATGTCAAACTGAGAAAGCAGCATGTAACAAGATTTGAAAGAGAACAGGAACTATAAATTATTCAGTATGCCATATTAAACATGAATCCTCAGAGGCAGAACAGGATTGGGTTTAGCAAAACAAAGTTCACTGGCTGACCATTGTTTGTGTATAGACAGTTGCTGTGGAAGAGAGCCATATTCATTCAGATAGATATAGCCCATCCATGGCTTAGTATATGAAAGAGGTTATAACAACACTCGATAACAGATGACCTTTGCTGAATATTACATACCAGGTACTGCAGTAAACATTTTTCACATATTAATATTTAATTCTCATAATTATCCTAAAGGTTCTCATTATTTTCCCAGTTTGTAGATGGGAAAGGCACTAAGTAAATACGGAAGAACACAAGTCTGCCATATTCCACAGACCAAACTCTAAACTCTTATATTATGAAAGATTAACTGAATTCAGCTCACAAAAGGCCTGCTGTATCAGCAAATCACTGACCACTATCCTAAAGATCTTAAGATTTTCATGGATTAGTTGCAATAATAAGAATAGATAGATTGCTATTAGGAGATTTATAGAAATATTTGGAAAACAGTGGTATATATAAGAGAAAGCAGCAACGGCTATGGTCAAAGGCAGATTGTCATGACTTTAAGGGTAGAGATAGATAGAATGTGTTTACTGGTTTGTTTTACTGGATGAAAAAAAAAGATTTAAGAAGGATCAAATTTGAGTAACTGAATAATGAGGTCATTCATACAGATAGGAAATACTCAAAGAACAAGGTAAAGGCGATGTGTTCAGTTTATTATCTGTATCAACTTTTTAAATGGAAAATGAACTTTAACATCAAGGATTTATCAAATTAATAGTTAATGGCTGAAGATATCAAAACTTGATCAGAAATGTTTTAAGGAGATATTGCTTCTATAAAAAGCAAACAAACTAATCTCGAGATCCCTTCCATTTTTAGCAGTCATGAACAAAAATCAGTTAATATCAAGCTTAAGATTATTCTTACCTCTAAAGTTTTCAACAAAGTTTGTGTTACATAAGTTTTTCCACTGGCAGTATGTCCATAAATAAAAATAGATGGGAAGCTGAAATGATGTCTCTAGAGAAAAAAAGACAGTTATCAGTCTGCATATACAAAATAGAAAAACAAAAGAAATTACCAACCTCCAAGGAATTTTTTCTTATTCATCATAGCACATCATTTAAATTCAAATGAAAGTAGCAAATATTCTTTCTTAAATGGAATGATTCTGTAAAATTATATTGGGCATATTTTATTATTTGCTATATATTTTTTAATTTTTATTATTGCACAGGTTTACATATACAAGCTGCATCTTCAACTTTCTATGAATTTTTAAAGAAATTTTCAGTATAATTTCATGTGTATTCCATTTTTAGCTAAATGTTTAAAAATAATGCAATCCTTTTGCAGGCTACAACTTCAATGTACATTTTAACATTTGAACTAAACCTGTATAATCATAGGGTTAAGACCTTACGAGGCCTCGTTTTTAGAAAAACTTTAAAAATACTTTTCAATTATATGTACTTGTTGACTCCAGCATAAATGTATGTGTTTTAACAATTCAAACATTGGCTAAAATCTACATAACATATATTTACATTCACATATTGGATCAGTAGTACAGCGTTTGCCATGCACAATCAGTGTCATAGGTTTGATCTCTAATACTGGGGAAAAAAAAGTTAAAATACGTATTACCAAGATGCTTTTGCAGCACATTAAGTCAGCAGCCTACAGAAAAACAAAAATTGTCTACTCAGTACTACAAATATTTCAGTTAATCAATGAATACTTAAGAGACACTCAAATGCTGAGAACTTAACACACAAATATCAGTAAAAGATAACTTTACTCTAATGGAGTTTATAGCCTACTGAGAAAGACATACATTTTAAAAAAATAAATACAAAAGCCAGGCACCATTGGCTTACATCTGTAATCCTAGCTACTCAAGAGGCTAAGACCTGAGGAAGGTTTGAAGTTAACCAGGGCAGGAAAATTTGTGAGACTCTCATCTCCAATTATCTACCAAAAAAGCCAGAACTGGAGCTGTGGCTCAAGTGTTGGATTGCTACCCTTGAGCAAAAGAGCTCGGGGACAGCACTCAGACCCTGAGATCAAGCCCCAGTACTGGCACAAAAAATAAACAAATAGAAAAATAAGAAATACAAGAAAAATGGATGCCATGACATTTAAAGAAAGTTGAGTCTTTTATGATTATCATTTACCACAGCAATATTACTCACATACATTTAGCAGGTTCAAGTCTCTACATTAACTATTCTTTTACAAGACAAGGCTTTCTAAATGGAAATTCCTATGGCAAAAGCAGGTCACCTGCTAAAACTATACTTAAAAATCTATTAAACGGATATTTTAGTACATGAATCCTTAAACCTATATGTAAACAGTCTTATAAACTGGCTCAAATATTGTTTCAAGAATTAAATGTTTCAATAATTAAATGCATGATGGTGAGTATTCCTGCTATCCATGTTAAGACTATTCTCTTGAAGAGTTTTTTAAAGCTACACTAAATCTCTCCGTTACTGGAATCCTACACACTTGTGCACATTCATTGTTTGGAAACTAATCTACCATCTTCTACTATTATCTAAAATTATAATGAACTCCTTCAGTATTATCTAATTTTTCACCTTTATAAATCACTCTAACAATGTTAATAGGCTAGGATCTAGCCTGACACAGAAAATGGGCTCAGTATATAATTACTTGTTGAATAAGTGAATCTTTTTAGATGTATGAACCAGGTTTTTTGTTTGCTCTATTTCACACACACACACATCACCTTGCAGAAAACTTGTTTTGTTAAATGTAACTTTCAGTAGGAGCAAAGGTCAAAACTCTTTAAGTTTTACTAGCAACACAAAATCACTTATCCTGATTTGCCTATATATGAAGTGATCTGGAAATGCAACTTCTAGTGAGAGGAAAATACATTAAAAAAAAAAAGCAAACCGGAAGTTGGTTGCTCTTATTTGCTCACCTCACAAGTAATATTCGAACCTAATTAACTCTAATTAATGAGTCTGAAGCAAATGACATTACAGAATAAGAGAGAAATGAACTCTTGGGTAAGTGCCACCTCCTGCTTATAGAAAGGACTGGCTGCTCCCTAACTGTGCTCATCCAGAGAACATAACCTCTCTTCCCAAGCATCGTTTTGATCAGCTAGTCAAGAGGAGAATCCGGCATCATATGCTTTCGGGGCTTTCATAATTCTGGAAAAATTGGCTGGTGTTTAAGCCTTGAAGCATCACTTCGGTCCTCGGTGGCCTCGGAGGGTCACGTCTCTCTTTTTCGCTAGCTGCCTCTCTGAAGAGCCCGCTGCTCACCCACCGGTCCCCCCGAATCCTGGTCAGATGGGACAGCGGACCCAAGCACCTGGAGCAGCTCCGGGCTGACCGCGCCTTGCAGGGGTGTGGGGCAGGCCGTCCTCGGCAGCCTCCACAACACGGACGGAGAGAAGTTACTAATGTGGGGGACACACACAGCGTGTCAAACTGTCTATCTCCCCCCCCCCACACACACACCGCGTCCACATATCACAACTCCAGAACTGGAACCTGGTGGCCGCGAGGCCGGGCAAAACGATCACCCGGCCGAGATGTGGAAAAGACACTGGGACCGCCATACCTCTCCGAACAGGGACTGCAAGGTGGACACCTGAGCCTCGCGACACAGCACCACGTGCTCCAGGGGAGGCATCTCGGCGGGGACCCGCGCGGAGGGCCTTGCGGTCCGCAACTCGCCAAACCCGCGGCACCACGGAGAGCCTCCAGCACCAGCAGCCCGCCCCGGCGCTCCCGCCGGAAAGCGGACCGTCGTGACGCGAGAGGGGCCGACGCCGGCGGGCGGCGGCGTGACGTCAGCGCGCAGGCGGGGCGGGGCCGCTCTATCTTCCACGCCAAAGCCCGCCGCTGTCTCGTTGGTCTCCGGCGTTCTGGGCGGCTGGGCGGAGCCTGCTGTTTGGTGAGGGATTTGGGGCTCAGCGCTGTTGAGTAGCAGAGTTGGGGTGCAGGGTTTTCCCCCCAAAGCCTGAGCGGCCCAGGTAGGATGAGCGAACTGAGAAGGGGTGGCTCCTGATGACCCACGAGTCTGTGCCTGCAGTTTTTCCCCTCCAGGAGAGCCCAGATTGGAAAAGGAAGGAAGGCTGTGCTCGCTGGCACCCGTGGAAAACCAGTATTCCCCCAAAATGAGGGTCTCCCCTGACCGGAAGTGGGGTGTGACTGCAAAGAGGTCGTCATGGGGTTGACCAAACTTGGAAGGACTTTGTAAGCTTGAAACCAGATGGAGAATTGCCTGCCACTCCTAAGAGAGCTTCTAGTGTTACTTAGTTTGTAGTGTGCTGGTTGAGGGCAATGGAACTAAAAATAGTGCTACCATTAAGCATTCGTGGACCACCCACTAGAAGCCAGAGGCTAAAATATGAGCAAATGTAAATATATGCATATATACATATATGTGTATTATATATGAGAGAGAGAGGGAGGAAGAGAGAGAGAGAGAATATAAGCACTTTTTAAAAAAGGGCTTGAAGTCCTGCAAATCTGGATCTGGGACCATTGACTCAATTACTTCTTAACTGTGAAGCCTTCTTGGAAGAAACTTTGAATCATTCCTTGTGAGCCTTCTTATCTAATAAGTAATCCATTTTCCTAAGAGTAAAAGATGATATGCATGGTGTCTGCCAAATATAGGTTTTATTGCCAACAGTAAAGCAAAAGGAAAGAAGGGAGGAAAAAGCATTAAATCCACACCGATTAGAAAAAAAAGCTGTTTAACAACTTTCTAGTGGAAAAGAGAATTGTTTATGTAGAAAAAAACTGATAAATTATTTGAAAAAAGAAAGGCTACTGGAATAGTAAGTGAACTCTGCAAGACTCAAGATATAGAAAATCAACACTCTACATACTAACAACAAACAAGTGGGATTGAAACTTAAACTACCAGTACAGTTTTAATAGCATCATAATCATAAAATAATTAAGAATAAAATTGACAAAAGATGAGAGAGACCTGCAAGAGACCTGAAAACTACAACTTATTGCTGAAAGAAATTAAAAATTGTTTTAAAAATAGATATGCATACCATGTTAGCCCTGTTTGTGAAATAAAAGATTTGTTAAATAGGTTTGATTCCTCTAACTTGTTAAGTAGATTCAATGCAATTTTTTGAGGAGGAATAGTATAATGGAAATTGGCTAAAATATACTAAAGATTCAAGTATTTCATAAAGAAAAATATATTCACAGCAAACACAAGAAAGATAGTCAATATCTTAATTATTAGGAAATTGTATACTAAAATAACAAGACAGCACTATATATCTAATAAAAGGCTTAAAATTGGAAAAACTGACTTCCTATGGAATATTGTAAGATAACAAGAACTTGAATACATTGTGGGTAAGAATGCAGAATCAGCCACCCATACTGAACACCTCTGTAATCCCAGCACTCTGAGGCTGAAGGGAGGAGGAACATCAGTTTAAGAATAGCATGTAAAATATAGTTCCAGACCACCATGGGCTGTGTGTGAGACAGTGTCTAAAAAAGAAGAAAAAAAGATGAACAATGATAAAACTACTTTTGGAAAACATTGTGACAGTTTCTTAAAACTAAGCAGACAACTATCATATGACTCAGCCATTCCCCTCACAGGTGTCTAGGAAAAATAAAACTGTTCATGTAGATGTAAACACTACTGTCTGTGGTAGTTTAATTGGAAGTCCCAAAGTAGAAACAAACCAAATACCACCAACAAATAAATGGGTAGACAAATTATAGTATATTCATATAATCATACAGTTCAATAAAAAGGAGTGAATCTATGTATCAGCATGAGTATCATAAATATTTATGCTAAGTGAAAGGCTCCTTTGTCCCTTACCCCATTCCAAAAACCAGTAGAATTATTATTCTAGATCTGTGGATTATAACGCTGGATTCAACCAATCATGGATCAAAAATATTTTCAGGGGTTCAAGGTATAGCTCAGTAGTAGAGTACATGCCCTGGTTCCAGCCACACAAAAGGAAAGAAAGAAAAGAAAAGATTGGAAGGAAGGAGAGAGAGAAAAGAGGAAGAGGGAAAGAAGGAAGAGAAAGAAAGAACTATGTACTGAATGTGTCTAGATTTTTCCTGTATTATTCTCTAATCAGTACAAAATTGCAACTCCTATACTGCATTTACATTTGGTAAGAGAAGTGATTGAAAATATGCAAAAAGGTGTATGTAAATTCTTTTATATAAGTGACTTGAACATTTTCTGATTTGGGTATCTATTAGAAAGACCCTGTAACCAATCCCTCACAAATACTAAGGGATAGCTGCTTACACTGTACACTTTCAGTTTTAGAAAATACTAAAAGAATGTAAACTAGCCCATAATTAAAGTGAATGTTGGTTAACAGGCCAAACAGATCAGAAAGAAAGTATTATATATTAAAAAAATTATTTTAAGGGTGAGGATATCTAAAGGAATGGTGGATATGATAGGAAATGGGAGTATTTGCAAATTTAAATTAAGATTACATCATTACTGTAAACACTGTTCCAATATTGGTGGTATCTTTATAAGAAGAGATCACATGAAAATGCAGAGACACAATGCCAAGTGTATTGATTTCTTTGTTTTGATGTGACCAAAATACCTGAGAGAACCACATAACAACTGACTTTGTCTCATAATTTCAGATGTTTTCATTCATGGCTGTTTGGTTCCATGTAGTAGGATAGAACATCATAAAGATGGAACTTGCTGCAAAGGAGATTCTTCACCTCACAGCAGAATGGAAGCAAAGAGCAAAAATGGAAGAAGATATAACTTTCGAAGTCATACACCAGGGACCTACATCCTCCAGCTAGAGCCCACCGCTTCCCAAAATAGTGCCACAACCAGGAACCAAGCATTTAACACATGAGCCTGGTGGGAGCTGGGGATGTTCATATCCAAAAGATAACATCAAATAAAGATAAATGTTGGAACAGGAAGGATATATTTACAATCCAGGGAATGTGAAGGATTGCAGTCCCTCACAAGAAGGTTGAGCTTGGGTATAGAGAAGATTCCCAATCAGAGCCCTCAGGAATCAACATTGCTGAACAAGGCTTCTAGCCTTCAAACAACCCTCTTGGAGAATACATTTCTGTTTTTCCAAATCACCTAACTTGTGGTACCTTATTACAGCAGCCCTACGAAACATATATAATGGGTATATCAATTAATTGTTGAGATGGATTCATGCATATATCAAAATTCTACACTTTGCTTATTATGTGCAGTTAATTGCATGCCAGTTATATTTCAATAAAACTTCAAATTTAATTAATTGAAATAATAGATTATGCATAATGATGATAGTGTTATGATCTGCAATGCTAATTAAGCCAGTTGTTTTCCACTGAATAACATTTAGAAAACACAGAAATCTTCAACAGCCTTGCTTATTGACTCCAGTTCATAGTTAGGCTTTCTCACCTGAAATCACTCTTTTTCATACTATACCACCTGCACCCAACTTTAGTAGGCTATTTGTTCATCAAATGAATAAAATGGCCACCATGGGGCTTATTCTTATATGCCTACCTATACCTTTAGACTCTATTTGAACCTGCCTAGTTCCACCTCAAGTCCCCAAATCAAATGTACAGGAGAGTGCTGGGTTTTCACCTTTTGAAATCACCACAAAGCTAGCTTGTTCCACAGCATTATCAACCGAAGAGCTGTTCTTCTGACATCTTGCACAATTGGATGAAATATCAAACCATAAGAAAGAGGATCTGGCATCCTAAGCAACTATATAAGGGGATAAACCAGAAGTGAGAGGGAAACTTCCCATGGGGGTTAATTCCTTGGGATGCAAAAGTTATTTCAGTGGGAAACGATACTGTACAAAGACAGGCAGACACCTTTCCTTCCCTTGTATCCACAGAATGACATGAATAAATACCATGGATATTTCCCCCTGAGCTGCTCTAAGAGACTTTCTTGCAAGATTCTGCCACAGGATGAACTGATACATTCACTGTGCATATGTATGGCTCACTGTGGATCAGGGGTACTTCGTTTCTGTTTATTGCATATTTTTCTCAACTTTACTTCACCTGGGTTAATGAGTACCCAGCCACTAAAATGCTATTCCAGGATGTGTGGATGACAGTATTTATAGAAGCAATTAGCATTTGAATCAGTATATGGAGTTGAAGATTCACCATAACCAATGTGGGTTGCTATCATCCAATCTATTAACGGACTGGATAGAACAAAAAAGGCAGAGAAAGCAAATGTTTTCTTTTTTCTGTGGATGGAACATCCATGTTTCCATGCTCCTGGGCATCACAAAACAATGTTCTCAAGGACTGAGACCCTAATACCTACACCATTGCCCTGGGTCTCAGGCGTTCTGTTCTAGACTAAGAGTTGCACCTTTGGCTCTGCTGATTCTCAGGTCTTTAGACTCTGACTGGTCTCCAGGTTTTAACAGCATACCATGGGACCTCACAGCTTTTATGATTGTGAGAGCCAATTCTCCTTAGTCTCTACTTACATCTCTATGCATCCTATTCTGTTTTGGTGGAGAACCTTAATACAACTTTCTTTTAAAATCAAGGTTTAGAATTGGAATGTGACATACTGGTAGAATGTTGGCCTACCATGCATGAGGCCCTTGGTTCAATACTTTGGTATTGCATAAACAGACAAACAAAAAATAAATAAAATCTAGGTTTATTGAGGAATAATGTAAATTCACTCTAGTCAGTGTACAATTCTATCCATTTTAAAAATTGTATTTCTTATTGTCTTTATGTAGTTGTACAATTCAG